AAAAAAGCACTCCTCAAATAGATCCAAGGGAGTTAGTAATATCACCATTATATGGCTTTAGAGAAATAATGTGAAAGGTTAATTATATACTATATTTAGGAAGGTAAGTACTTGTCCATGCATCTTAAAAAGTGTTCCATCCAAATAATCTTGGTTTTAGTGTTGAAAACAAAACTTTTAATGACATGGAAAATCCGCTTATAAAGTAGAAAATCTGATTACTAGAGAAAATAAATGTCATCAAAGAATAACATTTTCCTTTCTATATGTGTCACAAACATAAAATACAAGTATTATTAAACATACTCAAATTGATTTTGAATTAGAAAATTTGGATTTTTGTAGTAAACAATTTTTTTCTTATTGCTTTACCACAAAACTTCCTGACTGCTGCTTTATTAAGGTAATATCTTAAATGGTTCCTGTAAACATGTTACTAGTTTAAATATCTTCCAGTTCTATTAAGTTAATATGCAACTCAAAGAGTATAATTTGGTTCCTATAACTAATTAAGACATACTAGAAAAAGGTTATACTCTAAGCAATCTTAAGACCAGTGCCTAGAGAATGGATTAATGGACCAGTGCCTAGATGTATGATTTTATACCTCTTACATATCTATAGTATTAATCATCATATGCTTGAGAACATTCACACACACGCACAATTATTTTTTTGCCAGTTACTTAGATGGCATTATACAACTCAGTCACTGATATAAGGGGCCACTATGTAGAAAAGGGAATGCCAAGCAGAGATAAGGAGAAATGGTTAATAGTTATTTCACAGTTTTAGAGCATCTAGACTCATTTCTGGGTTGATGCTTCAAATAAGAGAACCTATAAAATGTATACTTGTGGTTTCTCTATGTGCACAACTTTTTCCAGTGACCAGGCATTTCACAGTAGTCTTATATTTAGCTGAAGCAAAGCAGATAACCCAGTTTCACTAGCATAGTCACAGGCTCAGCCTGAGTCATATCACTGAAGCTGGGTCATATAGCCAGCCAGCTGCATGCAGCAAATGATGAGCTGCACAGCCCTGCTCAAGACATGGGATTGCAGTGCATGTTTCATGACTACAAAGTTGAAGGAAATTTCACTTTATCAGTTTTCTGAGAGTTACAGTCATCCAAAAACCATTTTCTCTAGTCACATTAGCCATCCTAGCATCATTACAGAAGCACACCTACCAAAAACTGTGAGACCCCTGACACCCCACTTTGAGAAATCAAAGAAATGGGAGGAAAAGAAATGGAGTACTGAGAAATAGATATATGATGGCAAAGGAGCATCAGAAAACTAAATGTCTTGTTCAGTTTATGCAATGCTATTAGTATACTCATAATCCCAATTGATACTCTTCATGTATTTATAGGCCAGTAACCCTGCACATACCCACAATCACTCTCACTGCTCACACATAATCCCATTAAGCTATTCCTTCATCTGACTCCATTTTCTTTCACATGGTCCGAGGCACAGGAGATAAAAGGGTTCTTCTGCTTTCTCCATCAATTTCCTATCCTCAATCATCACAAAGTTTATAGGTGCCATGATTCTAGAGATACCCATAAAACTCCCTTAGGTTAATGATCAGCAGCTTAAGATCCACAGTAAACCACAATGTTACTAAAATTAAGACCAATGGAAGTAGATGAATTAAATTTAGTTAAAAACATCTGTTACTTTATAATGATCTATCTTTGCATGTTTAGTCTCCAGTTAATCGGTAAGTTCCAAGATAGAACATCAAGTATTCTTTCCATGTACTATACACAGAATCTATAAGATGATATTGCAAAATGGAAAAATCACCTGTTCAAAAGACTAGCAAGTAGTTCTTCAATCTTATTTTTAGCTTCAACTTCTGATGAACATTTTTTAAATGAATCTTCCTCACTAAAGGACTACCAAAGAAGCATAAATAAGGATTAATAAAAACCCAAATAAACATATCCAATTATCAGTGTATATGTCAAATAAATATTCAACACATTCTTTACTAACTTACCTCATGTACTTAGTTTGAGCCATTTAGTTCACTTTTATATTAAATCTTTTTATCTGCAAGTTATTGTACTCCACTAGAAAGTGCACTGGAAGTCAAGAAAATTACAAAGCTCTAGTACCAATGCCACACTTTATTGTACGATTACAGTGAGGCTCTTAATCTCCTAGGACTTGAATCTGAGTTTAACCTTGGGCAAGTTATTTAACCTTTCTAAAGTACAGTATCTTTATCTTAAAAAAATAATGGGAGGAAGAGGGAGTAAGGGAGGAGGAAAAGGTATGAACAATAGTACTACCTGAAAGATTCACTGTGAAGATTAAATGGGATAATGTATATATTATTATCCCTCAGGAAAAAAATTAATCAATGTTATCTGGGTGATTATACCTTTCTCCATTTCCTAAACCATTAGACTACTCTGAAAACAAGATTTTTAAAAATTAAAATATTTTGCCTACTGTATACAATATAGGCTATTAAAATTAAGTAGTATTCAATCACAGTGGTTAACTTAAGACTTAAATACTAATTCTTAGATTCAATTTAAGACTATTTATTAATCTACTATAATAAATAGCCTTCTCATAGGAAAGGGATCATGTACTAACCTAAAAAGCAAATTAGAATAGTAAGAACACAGTAGTAAAACTAGAAATCTTTACCTCAAATAATGTGACAACCAGTATTCAATTAAAATGAACATCATCGCCACGTACCTGAGGAGGTCCTGAGGGTGTCACAGGAGAGTTATCCTCTCCAAAGCTGAGCTTCTGGATACGCTGAGCAACTGAAATTCCTAATTCCCTTTCTAATATTTTGGATGAAAAGGTCTGAAGATCACGCACACTACTGATACCCAGTGCTTCCAGACGTTTGGTAGTTTTATAGCCAATACCTAAGCAAAAAGAGATGCATACGGTGTTACAACAGTTTTTCTCTTTAAAATTAGCTAATTAAAATATTATAAAGATGTCAACCACGTCTTTTGATACCATAATTGGTATTTTGCTAAGATCAAACTTTATTAAAAATTAGGTTGTTGTTCTGCTCAAGACCTCTGAGTTATGAAACACCTTGAAAACCTAACAACCATAGTATAATATAATGAATAAGGAGACAACCAATAAATACTGTCTTGATATTGATAAAATGAAATTTTTACCACCTGTTACATAACAATGTGGAAGTACTGAAGAATCATAGTTATTATTCATGTAAAGAAAGATTGTCACTACAGCAATTAAAATTCATTACCATTTGCTAATTATTAGCTAACATGACTGATTTCTATACACAATACCACACATTTATATCTGGAGGTAGTAACCATCCCAAATACAACTTCAAGCCAGAAAGCAAACAAACGAATCTTCTCATTAGCAAAACTCCTATGACAAAGTTCTTGCACTAAAACTCAGTCATACTTTATCACAGGAAAAAAATTAATGCTGTGATAAAGGACCATACGTTTCCAGGTTATAACTTTCATGATCATATTCAAGATATACAAAAGTAGGTAAAACTAGGAAAATACTTTCATATATATAGATTCCTAATATAGATTCCCTCCAGAAAACGTCAGGTTTTTTGGTTTTCACCAAGAGCCAAGTACACAGGCTCTAAGAATTAATTACACGTAGCTGTAATTTTTAAACTTAAAGAAATACAATAAAACCAATATATATTTTTCAAATATATTTGTCTTACCAGGCATTTCCTTTATGTGGTTCAAACTATGAATGAGATCTTGAGAACTTTCAGGTAGTAAGAGTGTTTGCTGATTTGGTTTAAAGATGCCAGACACTAATTTTGCCAATAATTTATTAGAAGCCACTCCAGCACAGCCTGTGAGACCCAACTGATTATACATGGCTTCCCGCATCTCAGCTGCAATCTGAGATCCAATAAGTAGTCTGATGTGCAAGATATCATGCAGGTTTATAGCTATAAAAACAGCCAATGTTGTTAAAAGTCACCATCACAAATTTTACTTTTCTTTTTAACAAATGAGTTTTAAAAAGATAAAGGGCTTAATCTATATCCAACCCCACTTCCCTACCACCATACTGCTACACCACCATACTGCTACACACTTAACTAATCTCTCTTGTCCTTCACAGGAATTATGTAAAGTAACTACCACAAGTGAATTCCAAGGCCTGTGATAGCAAATGCATACTGGGAGCGCTGAATGATTAACAGATTACGAAAACTGATCTCATAAAAAATTCCGACAGACATTAGTAGAACTTTTACTCATGTTTATCTGGAAGTAAGCATAAAAGTAAAAGTGTTACATTAATGATAAAGCTAACATTACAGCTTTAAAGATCTGAATCTAAACTTTACACACTACTGGTATGTGCTAATAAAAACAATTTTGGATTTGTATACAGTTTAACGAGATCTTTTATTAAAAGTATAGGGAAATTATATAGAAACAAATTTTCTTAGGTGTGAAAATGACATTAGAGTTATATGAGACAGTCCTTATCCTCAGGAGTATTTACATTTCAAGTGTTATGATGTCTGTAATAGTGGCTCAACAATCTATCAACCAATCAATAAACAGCAAGATAAAGCAAATGTGGCAAAATGACAACAATGGGAGTACCTACAAGGAAGGGCATAATGACTGTTCTCATTGAACCATTCTGTCAACTTTTCTGTAGGTTTAAAAAAAATTTTTAACACAATCTTACGTGGAGGAGAAGGAAGAATTCATGAAGAATTAGATATTTTAGGATAGGATATAAGACCTAGCTCTCTGTAATATGTTCTAACAAACAGAATCTAAGTTTGCTTTAAAGATTATACAGAAACACATTTGGAACCTTCTTGCTACCCAGACCTCGTAAGTGACAAAAGAGCACAGGTACAAAAGACACATGAAAGCTTCATATCTTCTTCTAAGACAGAATGGTAGCTCTACTTCTTTTCTTCTTTAATATCAGGGAGGTGGATAATGACTGGAGATTGATCCACCAGCACTCAAAAAAGGGGAATAAGAGAAAGCACATGCTGGCTGAGACCTATGAGCAAGTATATCAGGACAAGTCAGAGAAAAGCAGAGTAGCTTGCCTTCTATGTGGTATGATTTGGAAGTCACCAGCAGTCACAAGATGTTTGAAAGCCTAATTAGATATTCAGTAGAGTTGATTGCAGCTTATTTTCAAATGCAAATACCCCTGGAAATACCATTATTCATTCATACTTTAATACGCGAAGGAGAGGAACCATTCTGTTTTCTTGCTAAGAGTTGGCAAAGATTATTTGAACTGATTAAATATGAGCTTGCAAAAGATGGCAGGTAGGCCTGGACAAGCTTCCACAAGGGCTAACTTGGGAGGGTCTTGATGTCTTGGGAGAATAGAAGTGAACAAGCAAAGAGGCAGCAAAGGCAAATTTAGTCTTCCTAAAATTTTGCTTAAAAATGGTTTTAAGAAAATCAAAAATTACTCTAAAAAGCCAACTCCTGTAACTTAGGGATGACCTAAATAGTCATCCTCTTTAAAACCGATAACACAGGGACTTCCCTAGTGGCGCAGTGGTTAAGAATCCACCTGCCAATGCAGGGAACACGGGTTCGATCCCCGGTCCAGGAAGATCCCACAGACCACAGAGCAACTAAGCCTGTGCACCACAACTACTGAGCCTGCACTCTAGAGCCTGCAAGCCACAACTACTGAGCCCGCGTGCCACAAATACTGAAGCCTATGCACCTAGAGCCCGTGCTCCGCAACAAGAGAAGCCACCGCAAGGAGAAGCCCGCGCACCACAACGAAGAGTAGCCCCACTCACCACAACTAGAGAAAGCCTGCGCACAGCAACGAAGATGCAACGCAGCCAAAAAATAAAAAAATAAAATAAAATAAAAACTTTAATACAGGACTGTGTCAGAGAAATGAAAGGTGCACAAAGCACTGAGCTACATGTCATAAAAATATGATTTTCTGCCTATTTAATATGGAATAGCAATACCTGATTTTAATCATCTTAGACTGCTGAAATATGGCTAATATATCCAACAAAAGCCAGAATACTTTCAGAAAGACATAATCGGCTCTCTGAACTGACTGAACATTAAGAAATGTAGATACTTTTAGTTACTAAATTGAATGAATAAGAACCCACTTACGCTGATTACCATATACATGACCCGACACAGTCAGTGCTGACGGTTCATCACTTTGAAGCTGCTCTAGTCTCTTCTCAACCATTTCTGTTAGATCCACAAAATTTTCATCAAATCCGAGTCTCTCAACAACTGGACTAAATTCTTCCAACAACTCTAAATTAAAATAACATTGGAGCACAGATATAACTGAAGTTGTAACTAGAACAGATTTAACTCTTTTATGCTTAAAAAAATAATAAAATATGTTGTTAAAGGTTTTACATATATTCACAGTCCCATAATATCTTTAATAAAGTCCTCAGTTAACAGGGATTTTTTTTTTTCTGTACCACATTCTGAGTAAAGGCAATATTTTCCAACAAAATAAGTCCTAAAATAACATTTCCTGGGCAGATACTCATAGCAATAAATTTCTCAATCTCCTATACCTATAATTTCTCTATCTATAGTACATTAAACTTCAGTGCTTATAGTTAATTATGATCTTGAAGCAGTAGGTCAAAGAATAAATTATAGTCTGCTTAGAAAAGTAAAAACAAGTAATAATATATTCTAGCTATGTTTTTTATAAGAATTTTAAAAAGGCAAAACAAAATAAAATTAAAAATTTCCAGTTAATACTAATCCAAAGAGAAAAGTTACTTAATTTTCAAAATATACTACAATGCAATACTTTTTGATTAGTCATCCTCCAGCACATTCCTTAAGGGCAGAGATGGACCATGACTTACATGTATTTGAATGGCCAGCCTCTAACAGAATGCCTAGTCCGTAACTCAAATGTTTACTAAATTGAGCTGAACCAGGATTTGAAATAAGATCAAAACGACTTATCAATTCTCATTTTTAGGATTAAAACTAATAATTTGAAATCATTAAGAAGAATTTTCACTTCTCTCTGAATCACCTATGATACCAGCTAGATGGCAGAAAACAAATTATTAGACTCTTATTATATAAAAATGCATAGGTTCTTAAAGTCCTATAATATGAAAGCTCTGTTTTATTGATGCCAACACTGATAACAGCAGGAGAAAACAATTAATAAAGACAACAGTGTGATCTGGTGACCACCAAAAATCACTTTCAACCTACCTAGAGAAAATCATGTATCTACTCTGAGGAAAAATTGACAATGTGTCTGACCATATAAAAGGATTCTTTTGAATTTCCCTCATCAACTTCTGCTTTTCTTCCCCAAAAGTATATATCTGATGTCCAGCAGTAACAGGTAGAAAATAAAAGTTTATCAAAACAATACTATATAAAAAACAAAGAACAAGTTAAGTGCTAAGGAGAAAAGCAAATTAAGTACCGAATCATGCACAAAGCTGGTGGATCGCTGAATATTGATTGATTATATTGGTTCTATTACTAGGTCATAGGAATAAATCACTTATCCATTCCTGAAGTTAACCTCTTTTTTGCTGTTAACTTGTCAACCCCATAAACAAGAGGCATTTATTAAACATATGATTACATAAGGCCAAAGAGAGGAGTTATAATTAGAGAAAAAACTATCTAGACAAAAATGTAATACTGTAGAATAAAAATATGAAATAAACAATAAGGTTATACATCATAAATAGGTCTGAAATAAATTCAGTATAGGACTATTAGGCTATGTCCCTATTTCAACTCAGAAAATACCATGAAAAAAATTAACAAAATAACATTTTATTGATGCATAAATCATACTTAGAATATTTATTGTTATTATATTAGTGCATTTTTCTTTCAAGATACTACTTTATAAGTTAAGAATCAGCATAAAAACTGAGATTTACTCATTGAATTTCCAGTAGATATTTTCACTGTGAAGAGTTGCAGTGGCACAGAAATCATAAGAGAAAGACTGAGAAGTCTGACAACATAATGTCAGACAAAACACAAACTGGAAAAGTAAAAAAGATGAAACACAAATTGGAAATATATTTATAACACATGGCCATCAAAGGGCTAATTTCCTTAACTTCCCCAAATAATGACACAAACCAATCAGAAAAGAGAGGAGCAATCTAAATAAAAACGGGCCCAAGTGAAAAGACCATTCACCGAAAACATATATAAATGACCAAAAACACATGAAAAAATGCTCACACTTACTTATAGAGAAATGCAAATCAAAACAATGATTTACTATTTTTTCTGCCTATAGGCAAAATCTTTATGAATATCTAATACTGTCATACATACTAGCAATATGTTGGGACAACCTCAAGGGCAACATATAGCAGTATTTCTAATGCAAATTATCTTTGATCTAGCAATTAAACTTTAGGAGCTTACTTTAAGGATATCTTCATGAAAGTATGTGAAAATTTCTGTATGAAAATGTCTACTGAAGCATATATTTGTAAGAGCAAAAAGTTGGTAACAGAGAAATAATCCCTCACTATCAGGGAAGCCACATAATTTACAATAGAGACCTTTTGAATAAAAGGAGGTGCTATTAATAATTACGTAGGGACAATGGGCATAAAGTGGGACATACTGTCTTCATATCAGTAAAGGAATGGTTAAATAAGTTTGGGACAAAATACAACAGAATACTGTGCAAGCACTAAAAAGAATGAGGAAGAGCTATATGAATGAGATGAAAGAACACCAAGAACAAAGGCAAGATGCATATTGTCTGTATTATATCACCTCTTCTATGTACAGTAAAAATTAACTTCTGAGTATTCAGATATACACACATAATTGTGCACATTGTCTATTCACACACAGACATATACACATATGTTGCGGAAGGGGTTTGGGTCATTGTTTTACACATATGGAAAAACCTGATACTGGTTTTTGCATCTTGCCTTTTACTCACTCAACAAGGCATATCTCTATGAGTCAAACAGTACAGCACCAATGCATTCTTTTTAATAGCCATATAATATTCTATCACAGAGAAGTCTTAGTTTATTTAGCCATTCTCACCCTGGTGAGCAATTGTTTTCATTCCATATTTTTAGCAATTATGAACCATGCTACAAGAAACATTTTTGTACATATACATTATTTTAGTTCTATTAGATAAATCCCCAGCAGTGGTATTATTGGGTTAAAGAACATAATAGGTATCTTTAATTTCAAAACATGTTTCTAGATTGCTTTCTTGAAAAGGCTGTAATACTTCGTTTCTACTTTTTCTCACATTCTTATTTTTAGTACTAATGAACTTGAGCATTCTTTTTCCACATTGTTGAATTTGCTCTTTTTGTTAATTGCCTATTCATATCCTTTGTCCATTTTTCTTAAGTTTCTTTTTCTTGTTAATTCCTAAGAGCTCTTGGATATTATATTTAATGCTTTCCTCTGAGAACTGCTACAAATAACCAAAGAACAAGTAAACAAAAACAACAGCAGGGCTTCCCTGGTGGTGCAGTGCTTGAGAGTCCGCCTGCCGATGCAGGGGACATGGGTTCATGCCCCGGTCCGGGAATATCCCACATGCCGCAGAGCAGCTGGGCCCGTGAGCCATGGCCGCTGAGCCTGCGTGTCCGGAGCCTGTGCTCCGCAACGGGAGAGGCCACAACAGTGAGAGCCCCGCGTACCGCAAAAAAAAAAAAAAAAAAAAGAATTTACTAAAACAATAGCAAACAAGATAAATAAAAAGCTGATCCTTATACATTTTAAAACTGTATATATTTGCCATATGCCAGTACAACACATGGTTTCATTTTTCCTGTAATTTACTAAAACACTAAGATTCAAACCCAAACCTTAGTAAGGGGGAGTTTATCTACACTGAAATATTTAATATATACATAAAATCTAAGAAAAAAATATACTCCTTATCTTTGCTAATACTTCCTAACAAATTGGTTTTTAATTATGTTAATCAAACATTACAGAAGCCTCTCTCAACTCCCATTAGTGCATTAGAGTACAGCATATTTCTTTATAGTTTATTTAAACTTGGTATTTAAACTTATAATTAAAAATATCTGGTTCTTTTTGGTTTATCTTCTCCCATTTTCTCACTTAAATATTTTTTTACATTTTCTCATATTTATGTAAACATCAGCATGACAAAGTTCAAATCCCTTCCAACTATACATTTTTGTCACCATTACTCATAATATATTAAGTCATTCTCACATAAATTTTTTTTAAATGGGAAAGCCCCAAAATACAAGGAAACTGACTTATGCATTTTACATTTATTAAAAGATTCATGTAGTTAACAGGCATCCTATATAAAAATTAATGCTGAAAGTATATTGCCCATAATCTGTACCTGTAACATACCTGTAACCTTATATGACATCTCTCTGTAACGAGTCAAATCTTCTCCATTAACTAATACTAGCTGTGGACACTTTTCTTTTGCATCTCTGACATTCATAAGTTTCTTAACTCCAAGTTCCCTAGCTTCATAGTTGCAGGTAACCACCAAATATTTCTGCTGAAC